AATTGCAAATTACCCTAAATCTTCTTTGTTAAGTTTTATAAAAACACTCTAAAGACTTTGACAAAATATAGTAACAAAGATATTATGCAAAGTATTTTCTGTTATTAGTCTCTCTAGTTAGTTGTTCTCTTTAAAGAAGTAGAAGCAATGTAGCAATGCATTAGAACTTGTGATGAGAAGAATAAAATTATTAAAAAGACTAATTATTTTTGTCAAATAGATATTCTAAGATCACAAAATAAAAGTAATAACAGATGAAGGCCTAACTGATTTTATTATAGCTAGTGATAGTATAGACTAAGAGGAAGTAATTTTATTACTAATGTGAAAATTCTTTTATAATCTACTACTAGTAAGAATATAGCTACTAGAAATTGGCTACTAAATAGAACTCCAATAGCTAGTAGATAACAAGAAAAGAAAATTCAAAACTGAAAAAGCTATAGTCTTAGCACTTGCTTATGAAGACAATACTATATGAATAGCAGAATCTAAGACAGCACTACAAGAAATTATTCAAGTTTCAAACAGTTTCTTTATACTTAATAATATTAAAATAAATAGTACAAAATCTGAAGCAATAGCTTAGAGACTTCACAAGAAAAGTGCAGAAGAAGCTTTCATATAAATTGGAACTCTACCTAGTCAAGTTAAAGTAAAGAGGCTAGAAGAAAGTATCAGGTTTATAGAGTCTGAATAAGTTTAAAATAGCAAGAGAAAATAAGCATACTTTGTTACAAAAAAAAAGTAGACAAGATAATATATATTCTAAGATACAAAAAACTCTCTGCAAGCCAAATAATTTATATAAACAATATAGTACTTTTTCTTAAGCTCAAATACCTTCTAGCTAATATATTCCTCAAGAAAAAAGCCTGTGATTCAATATACTAACTGATATTTAAACTTATAAAATGAAAACTTGAGCTTCTCTTGATATAAGCAAATACAACCTTTTGATACAAAGAGAATTTTAAAGTAGTAAGCTTATAGCAAAAGTATATTGAACATCATATATCAGAGCTTTTTATAAGAATAAATTCTAACAGAATTATAAGTACAACAACAATAATAAGATTAAAATAGTTACAGCTAGATATAGATATAGCAGAGTGTATATTACTATTCAAGAATATGAGATAGAAGAAAATCAAGCACAAAAATCTAGGAGCCAAAGTATTGCAATATGCAAAAAAACTAGAGCTGAATGTTGCAGAAAATGAATTTACAGAAAGTTAGAACTTCACAAACTTACAAGAAGAGGAAAACTGCTTAATTAGCAATATTCTTAATAAGTATAATATAAAAGAAGTACAAACAGATATAAGTAAACTTAATTTATGATATATAAATCAACTTCTAGACAATAAACAGGAAAAAATAGTTATTTTGAGACAACTCAAAATAAGAGAAAGAAAAAGATATATAGATAAAAAAGCAAAGTAGTTTAAGTATTAGAGAAGAAAATATTAGAAAACTAAAAATTAAGAGAGGTAAAAGAAGAATATAGAGAGAAAAAAGGCTTCCAGATACAAGAAACAGAAAAGAAAATCTTATAAGACAAGAAGAAAAAAGAATGAGTCCTCATAAAAGGAAAGGAAAACAAGAAGAGCAAGTTTAGACATATTATTAGAAAAGAAAAGAAGCTAGTTAAAGTTGAAGTCTGAAAAAAGAATAGTGAGAATATACTTCAGGAAAGTAGCTAATCAAAAGCATATAATTACTGCTTCAAACTAAGAAGAATAGATCAAAAACAAAGAATTCCTCTAAGAGAAGTATATAATATCTCAAGCTTCATATAGAAAAAAGATAATATACCACAGGTAACATTCAACAAAAAGTATTTAGAAAATATAGAAAAAGATACTAGGAAGAGCAAAGTAGAGGAATTCAAAAAGTACAAGAACCTAGAATGTATTGAAATAAAAAGATACTAGGAGGCAAGTTAATTAACCAAATCATACAGAATATAGAAACAAGAAGAGAATAAAATGATAGATTAGAAGAGAATTAAATAATAGATTAGAAGCAAATAAAGAAAAAAAAGAAATTATGTTTTATACAGATAGCTTACTCAGTAGGGAGGATACTGAAAATAAGTTAATAATAGAATATAGTATAGTACAAATAGATGCATTTACTAATTTCCCCCCCAAGTTTCTATTGGTCATCGGTAAATCGCGCTTTTGATTGGACGCAATCGTCGATCCTCAATAATGTGATTCATGATACTGTCTTGTATTGTTAACTTTTTTGCGATAACGATAATGTGCTACTTAATATTTTTCTAAATTAATTAAAAAATCTCGTTACGTAGTAATAAATACTGTAAATTATAAATATTTGAAATATTTGGATATATCTACTGCGATTATAGAGAGATTAGGCAATTATATTCATCAACAGCTAAAAGGTTTAAATAAAAGAGCCAGTCAGCGCGCTTAATAATGGGTATTTGAAGCAATAAATACAGTAAATGTGTGATATTATATATTAGGCCACGAAAAATTAATCAATTGGTTTTCATAACCCGGCCGGGTCAATTTGGAAACCTTGAAAAAATTTTTTTATATGTTTTAATAACCTGGTGAGGTTTAAGAAAAAATTTTATATAAATTTCATAAAATTTAATATATGAATTTTTTAAAAAAAAGCCAGCCGGCCGGGTCTTTTAAAAAGATTCCTGTTATGAAAACCAAGTGATTAAATTTGTGTGGCCTTAATTAAAGATTTTGTTAAATTTTTAGAGGTTCAGCTAAATTTAATATATTTTTTTTAATTCAAATTAAAAAATTTAGCGATTACATTTTTAATTCGACCAATGATTTCTTGTACAAATTAAGTATCGCAATATTAACTATGTGTTAAAAACATCCTTCGTAACACTAGTACAAATAATTTATAATACTTTGATAATCTTTTTTTTTCAATCCATAGATCATCGGCACTGTCAAATTCGTAGTTTTATCGATTAAAGAAGTTCCCCACTTGCGAAAAATATAATAAGTTCGAACGGTTGCAGTGGTGTAATATCTGATAAGTTGTTTAATACAAGCCGTTCTTTGTTCTGGTGGTATGTTTTCCAATATTTTGCCCAAATAATAGGCATACCATAATTGCGCTCTTTGATTTCCTGTTCTTTTGGATTGAAGGAAGGACTGATAAGTAATCGCAACTTGTGCTTGGTAATTTTGTAATGGATCATAGGGAGCACAGATATGATCACTAATAATGTTATTTTCATTGTGGCCTAATAATTCGGCCATGACTTTCTCATATAGATTTGCCATGAGTATTTATTTAATCAAGTTTTTATTTTTGGAAAATAAAATAGAAATATGTAATAATGAAAAGATAGAGCGATTGTGAAAAAAAATCTGTTTGAATTCTAGAAGAAAATCAATGAGGTATTTAACTCTTTTTTTTTTTTTTTTTTAATCTAATTTAGATGAAGATACTTTACTATACTTATCGCGTAATTGTATGTATCGTTAGAAAGGGACGCATCGTTAGGAAAGGATATGTTGTCTAGAAAGAATGTGTCGTTAATAATAGTATCTAAAAATAAAAAATTTAGAATAATATTAGATTAGTAATTTCTGCAATTATCTGATAATAGTTTTATTAAAGATTTTTATTTTTTGTTTAAGTTTGGGCTTTACTGTTCTTATCGCTTAATTTGTATGTTTAGTTAGGAAAGATGCATCGTTAGGAAAGAGTGCGTCGTTAACAATGGTATCTGAAAATAAAAAATTTAGGATAAAATTTGATTAGTAATTTCTGCAATTATCTGATAATGGTTTTATTAATCGATCTTTTTTTTTTTTGGTTTAAATTAGGGCTTTACTGTTCTTATCGCGTAATTTATATGTTTCGTTAGAAAGGGATGCGTCGTTAAGAAAGAATTCGTCATTAAGAAAGAATGCGTTGTTAACAATAGTATCTAAAAATAAAAAATTAGGATAAATAAGGTCAGATTAGTATTAATCGATCTAGTTCTTTTTTTCTTTTTGGTTTAAGTCAATTTTAGATTACTGTAAAACAACTATGGGCGTTATTTTGAGGTTCGGCCCGAATTTAAGTCTGATTTATGCTGAAATTTGTAATTTCACCCCTGCGCATTTATTTCGCGGTTTTACAGTAATTAAATTGGACTAATCTAAATATGGTAAAAAAATTTTTTTGGTTATTATTAAATTAAAAAATTATTTATGATTGTCATTCTGATACTAACTTTTTTTTGTGTTGTATTATAGCTGTTTGCAAATGATTTTGTAAATAGTAGCTCACATGTACAATCACTTGATTGTTGCCTATTGTACGAATTATTTTTAATAATAGAGCATTATTAAAATATTTTATTTGTATCGAATTTTTGACTAAGAAAATCATTTTACAATCGCACAATCGAATGACAATTAAGTTATTATATATGTAAACTACGAACTGCAAAATTTGGTCAAGGATAACATCATTTTGCAGACAGCGATAAATTCTTTTTAGATATTTACCAATTAGGCACTTTAAGGTGATTATATGATCGCAGCACGCGTGCTAGTAATGATTATATCGTAAGTGGGAATGGAATTAAGTTGATTCGGAATTTTTATGGCTAGGATTAGAAGTATTTGTATAGTTATTCTACTCTAAGTAAACTCCGTATTCCATTCCCACTTACAATGATCATATTGCAAGAGAAATTATGTATTATTTATTTATTAATTTATTTAAGAATTTAAATGCTAATTAACAAACTTAATTAAGGAATAGGATATGAGAACTCGAAAATCTACCTTACAACACAGATAAAAAAAAACTCCAATTTTATTTGAAGATAAGTTAATTAGTAATACCTATTATACTTGCGTTATTAATTGTACTAGCTAAATATTTAGTATCGATTTTGCTTTCTAATTCCCGCGTTTGGTGCTATTTTATATGCATCTAAGATATTGCTACTAACCACAACATTAACTCTTGCAAGTCTTGTTTTTTCTGTTTGAATAGCTTGTCTAAGTGTTACCCGTAAACTGCGAATATCTTGACTGTCCTTTTCCTTCCAATCTGCAGCAATTAATGTAAGCTCTTCTTGTAGCTTTGAAAATTCAAAGTCTTTATCGCCTAAGGGGCCAAAAGAAGTAGAAGAATTAGGAGGCTCTTTAACAACTGAATTTGCTGACTGTTGCACGATAGAATCATGGCTACTTTCCTCTAAATTATCAGAGCTGATGCGAAGTTTGTTGAGTACAGCGAAAATATGTTTGCATGGCAATTGTCGTGTTTTAAAATCATGACAATTGCATACATATATGGATATGTTTAAATTGTTTT